GCTTTGTGCTTAATTAAGCACAAAGCTACACAATGGGCTATCCGTGCTCTGCCCACCACGGGTATCGAAACCCGGATTCTAGCGTCGTAAGTCCGCAGACGTGCCGCTGTGCCACTGGGGAAGTCATCGTCAGAAAAGTTATATTTACATTTCGTATTTCCTCGTTTACATTAGTCGTACTTTAGTCCTAAAACTGTTGAATGTAGGAAAAATTGTGGGTACTTACTGTGTCAAAACCTGGGCATCTTGAGGAACTTGTACACATAATACAGATAGGAAAAAGGAGGATTCTGTTAGGAGTTGAAACAGCATAACACGTTGTTCAGTTAACTCTGTGTTAAACGAATCACTGTATATACGAGGAATGAGCGATGTTGTGGTTGTCTGTTCAACGTAATATTGGTGACAAGAGCTGTAAACTTACCTACCGTAGATCAATGACGTGTGTTGACGACATCAGAGAGTTGTATACGTTGTTAGGAAAGTGTTTTTTTTATGGATAACCTATAAACTAATTGCAATGTGGAACATTTATTCAGGTATTGAAATGTATGTTCACATAAAAGAAAGAAATTGTCAAGGCTGGAAAAATTATGTGATAAATTGACAGTGCAGCAGTTTTTAAGTCGAGCGCAATTTAAATATCACACGCAATGCGTGTCATGTGAAACACTATCCACCTTGATCTATACGAAAGCTGAACATTGTGTGTGTGTGTATGTATACATTTCAGTGGATTTTAGACTTCCATAACTTAAAACTGATTAAGTTCGACTAGTATTTAGCATAATAAATTTTAATTTTATAAATTCACTTTTCCAATCTGCTCTTTAACGCCACATTAATATCCCACAGATTTATTTATAATCGCACGATACTTCACGATACTAACCCCAACTTCTTGCACGTGGGCTAAGCGGCCAGGTTAGGAACACCTGTGATTAAAATATATACCGAAGGAAAAGCAGCAAATTAGTAGCACCCGCCGCCAAAGGGGCTTTTGTCCGGCTCCTTGCACCGAATAATTGGATGGATTGTCACTTTTAGAAGTGCGCTCACAGTTGATAGCATGTTCCGCGGCATTACGTCTCGAACTCTCGAACCTTTGATACGCAGCCCGACACGCTAATCACTAGGCTATGCTTACTTCATAACAGCTATTTACTAATGTTAGTTTATCCATTGCGCGTAAAATTTGATGGGAACTGTAAGATAAAATAAACCTTTGATTTTTCTTATAAAGATAAGGCTCGGCATGGCCAGGTGGTTAGGGCGCTCGACTCGCAATCGAATCCCCGTCCCACCAAACATGCTCGCCCTTTCAGCCGTGGGGGCGTTATAATGTGACGGTCAATCGCACTATTCGTTGGTAAAAGAGTAGCCCAAGAGTTGGCGGTGGGTGGTGATGACTAGCTGCCTTCTCTCTAGCCTTACACTGCTAAATTAGGGACGGCTAGCGCAGATAGCACTCGTGTAGCTTTGTGCGAAATTCAAACAAAACAAAAACAAAAAAAGTGTTCCAAATCGCGACATTAATTTCTTGGCGACATAATAAAAACAAATTTAATAGACTTATTAAACTGTTTTACGTAAGTAAAGAACAGATTTAATAGATTTATTAAACTGTTTTACGTAAGTAAAGAACAGATTTAATAGATTTATGAATTTTCTAGTATAACATCTGG